GGGCCACTCCTGGCACCACCCAGCTCTCCTGGCAGAGCTAGACTCCCTCGGCTTGCTTGGCCTGTGCACTTTGAGGAAAGTGATCTGATAAGAATCATGCACATTAGAGTGACTAATACAGTGGTACTCCTCCTTTGAAGTGGTGTTTGCAAAGCCAAAACCCTACTGGGAGAAAGCAATAAACTTGACCAACTTTGAAGAGAAGAATTTCAGCCCTTTAGATGAGACATGTGTTGGAGTAGGTGGAGGCGGAAGGCCTAGGGGCTTTTCTAGTGCCCCTCTGAGCGACACGGTGTGAGTGGGGAGGCCTGGGGGACATGGACACTGGAGAACGGAGTCCCTGAATAGACACTACTGAGGCCCCTGGTGAAACCAAGCAGGCTTCTCCTGGCCTGCACCCTTACAGAAGGTCCTAATGGTAAAGGGTCCTTAAAAGCTAGAGGGGAAAAGGGACCTGGAGGGGAGGGAAATGTTTGGGTGGGCTCTAGTGAGGATAAAAAAGAGGAAGCTGGAGACCTGAGGGCATCCCTAACAAAGCAGGGCTTTGAACTAGTAACTCCTGAGCCGTTAATGAGGATCAGTAATGAAACCCTTAAACCAAAGGGTCTGTGCTTGTTTCCTGGAACTGCAAGAAGGGGAACTCTGGGAAGACTCTGAAACTGGGCATGGGATGCAGAGAAGCCCCAAGACGTAGAGTGGGAAGTGGCTACCCACTATGGAAAAATAGAGACTTTGGAGCCTTAGCTGGGGCCTGACAAAACTCCAGGGGCCTTCTAGGCTTCCCCTGTGGCATCAGTTGGACCTGCCAGTTTGACCTGTAGGTAGCAAGGGGCAGAGATGCACAACAAAAATACTTTCTGCATTCTGTCCTCTTCCCAGCTACCAACCATGGTCCACTAAACATATACTGGCCAGCTGGCCCACCATGTCTCCATTCTGCAGAATTTGGCAGAGTAAGGAAGAACGGATGTTTTAGGGCAGGAGGCGAGGGATGTGGATACAGGAGAATGAGATATACCACCTCCTGACCTGCTGTTGTACCCAGTGCCCCTCCCACCTCTCCAACTCCTGGGCGGGAGATCTGCATGGCCCTGTGAAGAGTCTTTGTCTACCCCACCTGCTGGGTGGATCCCATTCAGACTCCATGGACCTAGAGGCAAACGGACAAATACTGTTCAAGGACAAAGAAGCACCCACACATATGATGTGGAGGGTGCCAGCCCAGGGTACATCTGGCAAAGAGGAGCAGCTCCAACTCTAGGTGACAGGAGAGGACAGGCCGAGGGGAGGGTGTGCCACAGGCTGGGCTCAGGACTGGGAGGTGGGATCGAAGAGCGAGAGGCCCAAGAAGGTTGGAAGACTGTTGGACTGGAGGCTCCCCTTCCAGGACCAAGGTGCTGGTGCAGAGGAAGGTTGTTTTGTGTGTGTGTGTGTATGTGTGTTATTTTTTTAGAGAGAGATTTTTGCTATAAGGCGTGTATGCTGTCTGGAGAGACAGAGAGAGAGAAAGCGAGAAATCACTCCTCTGGCGGACATGGTCACACTGCAATCCCTTCTCCTTCATTCTCCTCCTGGGATTTTGGGCACATACATGTATCCACAGAAGATGAGTTTTAAGCCTCCGGGTCTAGGACTTGAACCATTGTTGGCCATGTGGGAGTCCAATGCCTCAACCACTATGCCACCTGCTGGCTCCTAGGAGAGTTTTAAGGACAACTTTGGGGTCAAAAGATAAGAGTTTGAGCTTGATCCTGTTCTTTCAGGCTGAGTTTCTGCAAAAGGCCAAGCAGCCTTTTATTTGGCTCATGCCTTATCAGGCAGCCATGCCAGCCCAGGGCATGGGACAGTGCCCAGATGAAGCCTCCACTAGGGCCAAGTGTCTAAAGCTAGAGGCATCTAGAGCCCCGTGTTATTGGCTTTAGCTTGTTCTGGGGAGGTCAAAGTCAAGCCGTAGGAAGGGTGTGTATTTTGGGGGGTCAGTTTAACTTCTAGAATTATCTGGTGACATGGATAAAATTGGTGAGCTGTTCTAGGAGTGGCACCCAGGAGGCCTCCTGTGTACTACGCATCCATGATTCCGATGCAAAGTACAGTCACAGATCCCCCCTGTTCCAAGGCCCATGTCTCAACAGCCTGGAGCATAGTGAGACTTCCTCTGTGGTCTGTGGGCCAGCCTGACCAGCACCACCTGCACAGATGACTGGCCCTTTACCTTGTTCATTTGTGTATTTTCTGTCATCCTGTCAATCAAATCGTTAAAAGCTGCTTTTCCCCCTCCACTTATACATGCGATTGTTTACATTTATAAATTGTATGTATCCAAACTGATTGACAGAGGATGGGCTCAGAACCACTCTGCAGGGGTTCCTAGCCTGGCTCCACTATCACTTTATGACCTTGGGCAAGTGAACTCCCCGTGAAGATTTGCCCTTATCATTGCTATCATCTCATAGGCATTTCCAGTTAATAAATGACAGAGTCAGCATCCAGCCCCAGGCTGGTCGGTCTGACTCCAGGGCTGGAGCTGCAAACCACTGTGCTCTGCTGCCTTCATTCCCCGGATGACCAGATTGCACAGATCTGGAGCAGACCCGGAGTCCACACCTTCAACATGTGTCCGAGGAGTTCACTGGGCCACGCTGTGAGGAGCAATGCCCTACCGCTGTGGTGCTCTAACTGGCTGCACCTGAGGACTAGACGTTCCCCAAACTGTTAACATCCTTCTTTTCTTTCTCAGTTGGTTCAGGGTAGGGGTGGGGAGCCGTGGCAGGGTGCTGATTAGCACGTTTCTTTTAAGTGTGACAATGTGTTCATTTATTGTTTAATCAATGAAAATGTATGAGCACCTATTCTGTGCCCTGCCCTGCCCTAGGCTGCAGATACAAAGGTGGGTGGGGCTCCGTGTGAGCCCTCCTGGAGTGCAGGTGGCCTGCCCTGTAGTGGGTGGAGCACAGCCTATGTGGAGGAGGGGAGGCCGCAGATTTCCTCTCCCTGGGTGAGCTCTGAACAGCTAGCCTCCTTCTCAGAGGACTGTTGTTAGCTTCTGGCTTCTCTTATGACGTCTTTGACCCCAACCTGAGAGGACACGGTTTATTTCAGCCCCCAGCTTATAGAACCATGGATTGCCCAAGCTCAAAGGGCCCTGTGAACCAATCTTTCCAGAGCACTCGAAATTTAATGAGCAGCTGACAAAAGCGCTTTGGAGTCTGCTAAATCTAACAGGGGCCTACCCCAAAGTTCTGATCTGTGGGTCTTTTTTTTGGAGAGGATTTTTTTTTTTCTATAGAGCGGGTGCGCTCGCCAGAAAGAGAGAGACAGAGAGCAAGAAATCACCCCCCAGAGGGGATGGCCATGCCGCAATCCCTTCTCCTTCATTCTCCTCTTGGGATCTTGGGCACGCACACACACATGGCCGGCGTGAGTTTTAAGCCACCGGGTCCGGGACTCAAACTGCGGTTGACTACATGAGAGTCCAGCGGCATAGCCATTACGCCAACTGCTGGTTCCTGATACGGGTCTTGAGTGGGGTCTAAGGAATATGCTTTTGCTACAAAGCTCCCAAATGGCTCTGGTACACATGCAGCTGTGGTTCAGTTTCCACTGCACCTGCAGAGGCCCTGGGGCCTGTGGAAAACACCGAAGCCTTAACTGCACTAATACGCACTACATTAATGCTGGGAGAAACCATTTTGTATGCTGTAAAGATGTACAATGATGGGGACCAGCAGATAATGTAATAGCTCCATTGCTGGACTCCACATAGTTAGTTGACTGTGGTTCGAGTCCCAGACCTGGTGGCTTACACTCATGCTGGGCATGTGTGCATGTGCCCAGGATCCTGAGAGGAGAATGGAGGAGAAGGGATTGCGGTGTGGCTATCCCCCCTGGGAAGTGATTTCTCGCTATCTGTCTCTCTGTCTTTCTGGCGAGTGCACACACCCTCTAGCAAAAACCTCTCTAAAAAAGAAAAAAAAAAAAGATGTACAATGATGAAATGCAAATTAAAAAAAAAAGAAAAAAAATAAAAACACCATTGCTCAGGCCTCATCCCTGGAAAGCCTAGTTGATTTAAATTTTTTTTTTCTTTTTAGGTTTTTGCCATAGGGCACATGTGCTCACCAGAGAAAGACAGAGAACGACAGTGAGAAGGAAAGTGAGAAATTACTGCTACCCCCCCAGGGGAAGGGTAAATGACTACACTGCAGTCCCTTCTCCTCCATTCTCCTCTCGGGATTATGGACACACATGCACACAAGCCTGGTGTGATTTTCAAGCTGCCAGGTCTGGGACTTGAACCATAGCCAACCATGTGAAAGTCCAGCACCTTAGCCACTTCACCACCTGTTGGCCTTGCCTGGTCAATATTTTTAATTATTAGTATTTTTTTTTTTCCGAGAGATTTTTCTATAGGGTGCATGTGCTCACTGGAAAGACAGAAACAGAAAGCAAGAACTCATCACCTGGGGGGAGGGAGGGTGGCTACACCGCAATTCCCCCTTCTCCATTCTCTTCTCAGGATTTTGAGCACACACGCCCGGCATGAGCTTTAAGTTCCTCGGTCCGGAACTTAAACCATGGTAAGCTATGGGAGTCCAGTGACGTGACCATTATACCATCTGCTGGTCCCCCCACCTCTGGGCAATATTTTAAAAAGCTCCCCCGTGATCCCACCATGCAGAAGGTGAGACCCTTAGTCTGGGCCTTCCAGCTGGCTGTGTTTAGGATTTGGGGAGGCAGCCCCAGGGCAGTCACTTCCTTTCACCATCAGGACTTCGAAATAAGAGAAAAAAACTAGGGAGGGAGGAGATAAAAATGAAAACACTACTGAGAAGGTTGACAAAGAGAGAGAGAGCTGGCTGAGAAGCTCCTCCCAAATTCACCTGTCAGCACCAAAGGCTTATATCTCTTTATTTTTAAACTTTTAAAAATTATAGTAGTGATTGACATAAAAATTGAAAGTGTAAGAGTATATGAAAACAGAAGATCCATAATCTCACTTTATCACATCAGCTCTAAGCAAGAATATATATTGGGTCATCAGAAAAGTCATGATGCATCTTTGCATTAAAAAACCAGAAAAAATAGGTCATGACTTTTCCGACCACCCAATATATTCTATAACAATGTGATACACAGATTAAAATATATAATACAAAGCCCTAGTGTGTAGAATTAGTACCCCTTTTTTACTTTATGGTTGTCTTGGTTTTATGTAACTTTTCAAAAAATATGTTGTTTTTAGGTCATTAAACATCTCAGTGCTAAACCTTTGAGCCAGGTTTGGGGGACGTGAGTGGAGTGAGGGTGGTGTGCCCACCCCTCTCATGATCATGGACGTGTGCTCACTCACGGCTGTGAGTTCCCACTGTGGCACTAGACATCATCCTCTCAAACACACCCGTCACATCACGCCCTCAAAGCTCCTAGCAGGGTATGACTATTTACATGTAAAATAAGTTCCACTCTCTCCTCTGAATTCTTAGAAAAAAAAAAAGGAGGAGCACCACGGGATGTGGGAGGGTGAGTGCCGTGGGAGAGCCCTAGCTCTACAGCCCTTCCTGCTGTAGCCTCCGTCTTCCGCCCAGCTGTCTTCCCTCCCCTCCCATGCCGTAGGGTCTCAGTCACTCTTGTTCCCTGTAGACTGAGGCTGGTGCATTGGACAAAGGCTGGCCCTCCACAGCTGGTAGGTGATGGCAGCAGTCATGGTAAGCCAGGCCAGGTAGGGGAGCAGGAGCAGGGCAGCCAGCTTGTTGATGGGGTGCCAGGTCAGCGCTGTGCTCACCACCAGTCCGTACAGCAGCAGCAGGTGCAGCAGGGCCTGGGCAGAAGAGCTGGAGGTCAGCCTGCTGCCCTAAGAACTGCCACGCCACCTTTCTGCAGCCCCCTGGCCTCATGAACCAAATGCCCCCTGAATGATCTGCAGCCTTGTCTGCTTCTGGGCCCAGTTGTTCACCTTCCCCTATTCTACTCCACCGAGCACCGTGTGCCTTACCAGGCCAGTGTTGTGGGCTACAAAAAACAGAATCAAGAAGGTCCAGCTGAGGACTAACTGTGCTGCATAGAGGCCGAGAGGCAGGGCCAGGGGCGGCCCAAAGCCCCCTCCCAGGTTCTTCCACACCAGGTAGGAGGCATATCTGTGGAGAGATGGTGGAAGAAACACTCAGTCGGAGGGTGCTCCACGGTAAACGAAGACAGCTCTCTGCAGGGAGTCTTGGTTACCAGGAGGGAACCCTCATGGCCTGAAATGTGGACAAGGGCATCCTTTGTGGGCCAGGTGCAGTTGGTGGGAGGAGTTGGAAGCAGTGAGGTGGGGAAAGCATGGGAAGACTTGGACAGGATGGAAGAAGAGGGCTGACTGGGATCCTTGGCAGGAATAGAAGACCTGCCATAAGCAACAAGATGGAGTGCCACCCATTGGAGGAGGCCAGTGGATGGCAGGAGCTCCGCCAGAGGGAACTTGTTCACCCCAGGGATGCCAGGATCGTCATGTGAAGGATGAGTGCTCACCCCATGACAGAGTAGATGACTGTCCATAGAAGCAATATGACTTTGTGGGGTGGGCACCAGGACAGCTTGTTCAGGTCCTCACACCAACCAGACAGCTGATTACCAGTGAAGAGCCAGACCAGGATGGGCCCCAGGTGGGGAAGGAGCAAAAAGATGACCCCTTGAGGCTGCATTCACCTTGAGGAGAGAAAATCTGGAGAGGCAGAGGACAGGTAGTGAGGACCTGTACCCTCTGGCCTTTTCCTTTGTCCACCTCCTGACCTGGTGCTGCTCCCTGGCTGGAGTCCCACGGAGAGGTCTGGCCATAGAGACCTGCTGCTCCTTGAGCCATCCCCAGCCCAGCCCCTTCGGCTCACCCCTTCGCTGGCTCCCACAGACTTACTGCTCCTCTCCACTTGTGTGGTCCTTGTCCTGTATGGGTACTGGAGCGAAGGACTTGCCTTCCTCTATCTGTACCTGACCCCTCCGATAGCAGCCAGTACTCAGCCAGGTACCTAGCAGGGCCTAGCTGAGGACAGTGTCTTACGGAAGCTGACAGTAACCCACTGAAGGACCCTGTTCTGAAGGCAGAAATCAAGAGTCTTTTCTAGTCACGCCTGGGCCAGGCTATCTCCAGGTTTATCTTGCTACACCAGACTGGCTCACTGGATGGGCCCACCCAGGCTGCTCCCAAGCCCCATTTTTTTTTTTTTCTTTTAAGGGAGAATTTTGCTATAGGGCATATGCGCTTGCCTGAGAGAGACAGAAAGCAAGAAATCACTTCCCAGGGGGCATAGCCCACTGCAATCCCTTCTCTTCCATTCTCCTTTCAGGATTATGACCATGCATGCGCATGTGCCCTGTGTGAGTTTTAAGCCACCCGATTCGGGACTTGAACCACAGTCAGCTATGTGGGAGTCCAGCGACATTACCATTATGCCATCTGCTGGTCCTCCCCAGGCCCAAATTCTAACTCAGTCCACTGACATTGTGAATTTCCTTTTCTGGAGCCTTAGCTCTCAGCTACTCCTGGAGCCCAAGGGAATGAGGTGTCCCCTAGATCTCTCCATTCCCAGAGGGACTGGCAAAAGCTAACTGCCTGGTCTTTGATTGCAAAAGCATCATGCTAATTTGCATGTTACTTTGCATGTCATTTGCATGTGGGGCAATATATATATAGACCCTACTCCAACCAAGGCCCCCACACAATATCATTCTCCTAGTTCACTTGTGGTATTTTAGCCTCTTCCCCATGCTTGATGGGACTTGAAGGGGAAAAAAAAATTCAGTGTTCTGGAGGGACTGCCTAACCCACCCTTTCCAGCCAGTGGTCAGGACAGCTGTCCTGGGGTTCCCGGGACAGGGCCTGCTCCTGTGCCTACCAGTGGAGTCTTCTGGTTTTCTGTGCCCCTCCCTAAGTGCTCACCTGCCACCTTCCTGTGTCTCCATCTCTGCCTTTTTTCTTCTTTTGTCTTAATCTCTTGCCAGAGTTTCCCTCCCGAGCCCTCCCCAACCCCATTCTCTTTTCTCTGGTTACCCACTGCTCCAAGAGCCTCCTCGTTCCCAGGCCTAGTACTCCCTTACCTTCGGCTGCACACCTCTCAGACTCGGTGCCCAAAGAGATGTGATGTGTGACGGGCCGAGGAGGGTGGGGGACGGGAAGAGGGTGGAGCGGGGCTCCCAGCTGGTCTGCCTTTCTCAGATGACAAGGGTTGGTGCCACAGGCCAGGGAGTCCAGGTTGCTGCCTTCATAACCCCCCAAAAGTTTATTTCAGCAGGGGTCCCCCTGGTTGACTAGAACCTTTTTTTTTGTTTTTTTTTTTAATTTTTTTTGGAGAGTTTTTTTTTTTTTATTATAGGGCGCATGCGCTTGCCAGAAGGACAGAGAGAGAGACAGAGAGACAGAAAGCAAGAAATCACCACCCCAGGGGGGATGGCCACGCCGCAATCCCTTCTCCTCCATTCTCCTCTTGGGATCTTGGCCACGCACGCACATGCACCCGGCGTGAGTTTCAGCCACCAGGTCCGGGACCCGAACCGTGGTCGACTACATGGGAGCCCAGCAACATAGCCATTATGTCAACTGCTGGTCCCGACTAGAACCATCTTGATGCCTGGCCTCTGGAGGGAACCTCTTGATGGGTGGTTGAGGGTGTGATACTGTGGAGAGTCAGGCTTCCTGTGATGGCTCAGCCCCAGGCTATAAACACTGTGGGTGCTGAGAGTCTCGGCATCCCATACACCAACTCTGTATGTTCACAGAGGTGCAGGGGCTCTCCACTTTCCCCAGAGCCTTCCTGTAACTAGGACTGTCCCTAGGTGAGGCAAGCGTGAGCTTTGGAAATGACTTCATGATCCATGATCTCAGCCCCTGGGTAGAAACTCCTCCTTGGCAGGACCCTTTCTGGCTTGGAATTCTAGCTTGCTACATCTTTCACAACTCCCGCAGGTCTTTAAGACTCTGAGAAGGCAGCCTCCTGTGTGACTCAGACATAACTTGGTGAAAACAGCCCTGCCTCATTCTCTAGCAAAGCTCTGAGCACCTGCCCTGCAGGCATGAAGTCCCCCTCCAGGTCAGCTGCTCTCCACCTGTTCCTTCACTGTCTCCTCACTTGGGGAACAGACTCCCCTGGGAGGTGTGTATCCCACTCTCTCACCTCTCCCCAGGGAAGGAGGCAGAGGGTAGGGGGTTGCAGTCAGCAACTAGAGCCTGGAGAATCATTAACTGAGGCAAAAGCAGAAGTTACTTATTTTCCAGGGAAGATGATAACTGGGGACTGGGGGTGTTCACCACTGTTCCACAACTGCAGGGGGCCAGCCCCTGGTGGTTTCACTCACCGTCTGGGACCCATTCTCTCTATATGTATTTGTGTGCATCAGTTCAATTCCTGTTAGCTCGGTAATGATAATGCTGTTATCTGCACTTCACAGGCTAGGGGACTGAGGCTCAGAGGGGTTAAATAACCTGCTACTACGAAGCCAACAGTAGTCGATTTGGATTGAGTGATGGCAGACTGGATCCAAAATGCAGCTCCTTCCCTCTCAGCTGGGCCACTCATTCCTTCAGCAGGTCTTTAGTGAACGTGGACTCTGAGTCAGGGTGTCCCAGGAGCTGAGGAGACAGCGGCAACAGGATGGAGAGGAGTCCCTCTCCACAGGGAGCTTTCATTTCTGAGATGCGTGGTGCCATCTCTCCTAGGTGAGGCAGGATGAACTCGGGTTGCCAAAGGTCCAACGTTCGATTCTCCTCCAAGGGGCAGTGTGCCTGCCGACTCTGATTATGGGGAGTGGAAAGAGCTAGGGAGCCGACGTGGGTACATTCAGTGTCACCTGCAGCCAGTGAGTTGCTGACCCTCTCGGCGTCCCCACTCTGTGCAGAAAGCAGATAGAACAGGAGACTGTCTAAGCTCCCTGCACGGGCTGCATTCCCATCACCTGGGAGCTTCTTAGGGTTGCAGAATCTCAGTCCATCCTCCCAGCCCCAGTCAGAAGCTGCATTTTAATAAGATTCCCCCTGCTGACTCCAGTGCCAGCTATAGTTTGGTTTAAGGTTTAAAGCTCTGTTTAAGGTTCCCTTCTCCCTCTTTTTATTATTATTATTTTATGTTTTCCTTGTTTTTTTTACATTCGATCACTGTATATCTTTACAACATTGAAAATGAGTTTTCCCAGCATGAACACACTGCATGTTAGTCCACGCAGAGAAATGACCATACACCTTGTCATCAACAATTTTTTATTTTTTGTCTGTTGAATGTTTTGCTTCCCCTCGCCCCTTGATTCTCTCTCCCTGCGCCCACTCCCTATTTCCTACCCTCTTCCCATACTATCTCTGGTATCCACAGCTGCTCTCCAAGCTTTTACTTTCTCTTACTTTCTGCCAGTTTAATAATAGCCTCCGGCTAAGGGACAGCCACTGGCCAGCAGAGGGCACTGTAGGGAGGCATTTCAAGGCGCAGCACCTACCTGCACGCAGGCTGGCTGGTTCCCTAGCTCCTCCCTTCCAGACCTAGACCTGCAGCTCACCCACTCCTGGGATCCTCAGTATTCCTTGCCCTGGCTGGACTTTGCCAACAGACAGAACTAGTCTCCCACCCCCGCCCCACACTCTTTAGGGTGGCTAGGGGGCAGGGCTCTGCCGGGAAGTGCCAGCCCACTGCTGCCCAGACTCCCCGCCCACCTCCACTTGTCTGCTGGCCTGGCTACTGTGACTCTCTGACCTCTCTGTTCCTCAGAGAAGGAGCTACTGTCCCTGGACAAGCCAGCAGCCTCTGAGACCTCCTGGACAGTAAGGTGAGCACCGCCCCGGGGGCAGCCAGAGGCATTGCCATGGGGTTACTTGGGGCTGAGGGAGGACCAGGCCAGCTCAGCCCAGCCTGCCAGGGAGTGGGGACTCCCTGCTGGAAGAGAAGAGCTTGGGGAAGGGCCACGCTGGCCGGTGGATATGAGGACCACAGGCACAGTTATGTCTGGCGGCCGTGTGTACTCTGCGACCAATGCTGGGTGAGACTGTGGCTCCACCTCCTCTGCCCAGGACTTTCTGTGTCCTCAGATGCCAGGGAGGCAGTTAGAGCCGGTGAGGTGGGGAAGGTGGAGACTGTTCTCTAAGGCTGTGAGCAGAACTCTGTAGCAGGCATCTTGATCTTTGTGCCTAGGGACAGGTGATGGTAGCATTTTTAAAAGGCCCTCTTTTTGGGGATGATCTGGAGTCTGGGACCAGACAAACTGGAGGAATGGGTCGTGAAGAGTCCAGGCACAGAGTTAGCAAGCTCCAAGCCACATCCGAATGGCTGCAGTGCTGTTGAGGCCACCCAAACTCGGGGCCCTTCTGTCTGCTGGGGCCAGGGAGGAGGATGGAGTAGGGCCAAGGGAGTTAGAACAGCACTCAGCATGGAGCTACAGCTGAGCTTGGGGACAGTTAACCTGCTCAGGCCAGGAGAATGATGAGAGGCCCAGCGGGCCTGGGGAGTGGTACAGGTGTCCCAGCTGGGAGGCTGGGCAAGGGGACGCTGCTGCACCACCCAGTGGGCTGGAAGGGATTTGGACTCTGGTCTTTGGAGGCCTTAGGAAGGTTGTAACTACAGAAGCGAAGCAGGTTCTCTTCTTCTCGTCACTTTAGCTGGCCCATCCCCTGCCATGGATGGCTGGGTGGAGAGGGGATGGAGTGTCACTTTGTGTGAAATGGAGGATGTGTTTTTAGTTCCTTCTACTTATTTTTACTTTGTTTATTCTCTTTCAACTTGGTTTTCTCTAGAGGAGGAAACCTGGGGAAAAAGGAGTGGGAGAGAAAGGGAGCATTTCTAGAAGTCGTCATCATCTCTCCTCCTCCTTCCTTTCTGCCTTCTATGGTGGCTTCATAATCCCCCACCCATCTTCTCTGTGGAGAGAAAACTCGGCTTCCTTATCTGTGAAATGGAGATAAAAATTACACCTAGCTTACAAGGCTGCTTGAGGAGCAAATGAGATAAGCCAGGGAAGAGCTTTAGCACGGTCGTGAGCTCTGTCAATGGAGCTATTATTTATTTTTTTAAAGAATTACTTTATTTGGGACCAGCAGTTAGCGTAATGGCTATGTCGCTGGATTCCCACATAGTTGACCGTGGTTCGTGTCCCGGACCCGGTGGCTTAAAACTGACGCCGGGCGTGTGTGCGTGCATGCCCAAGATCCCGAGAGGAGAATGGAGGAGAAGGGATTGCGGTGTGGCCATCCCCCCTGGGGGTGATTTCTTGCTTTCTGTCTCTCTGTCTCTCTCTGCCTGTCTGGCGAGCGCACGCGCCCTATGGCAAAAACCTATTCAAAAAAAAAAAAAAAGAATTAAAAAAAGAGTTAGATTATTTCACTTTATTTATTCACTTATTTAAACTTGACCAGAAATGGATAAAGAGGGGGGGGGGGGGGGGAGAGAGAGAGAGAAAGAGAGAGAGAGGGAAAGTGAGAAAGCAAGCTGCCTGGTCTGGGACTTGAACCATGGCCAGACATGTGGGAGTCCAGTGCTCTTAACCACTACATCACCTGCCAGCCCCAATGTAGCTATTATTATTCGACTAGTAATGTGGAAGAACCCAAAGTAATGGATGGGGCATAAGGGTTAGCTCGCCGCTTCATCCGCCTTCCCACCAGATTTGGGGCACTGCCAACTCCCCTGCTTCCCCCGTGTGCCCTGCCAGAGGCCTGGTTGAAGGAGGATGGTGTGCTCTCTGAAGGGCTGGATTTAAAGTCAAAGGAAACTGGAGAGAGGAGCCCTGCAGGGGAGACAGGTCCCGCCCAGCCTTTAATCCTGAGGCTACAGAAGAGCTAGGAAGAGGCCTTAGTTTTCCTGGGTTTTGAGGAAGGAAGGATGAAGGTGGGCCAAACCTTAGCTCCAGATGGCTGGTGTGAGTGGGGGTGTGGGAGCAATGGGTGCCAGACCCTTTGCCAGTGCAGACCCTAGCCGATCAGCCGAGGGGCCTCCCAGAGGACGTTGAAGGAGGGCATCATGCCTCCCAGAACCCAGCTACTGAACCTGTGAGTCCCATTCCCTCAGAAGGGCCCAACACTGAATACGGCATCGCCTTTGGCAGGACCTGGCACACAGTAGGTGCTCTGAAATGTTCATTCGAGTGGGAAAGCCACAGGTGACATAGTCAGAAGTTACGTGGTAGGGCAGGACCACAGCGGAGAGAGATCTCAGAGAGTGGGACAGTTCGGGGGCCGGTGTGCCAGGGGAGAGCGCGTGGCGGGAGAAATCAGAGAGCCCAAGAGCCAAAGCCAGAGGCGAGAGAACTCACTAGGCGAGCGGAGCCCAGTGTGGCCAGAGGGTAGGGGTGCTGGAAATGAAAGGGGCTGGAAGAGGGGCAGGAGGGCCCGGGGAAGGGCTGACATTTCTATAGGAGACAGCGAGAAAGCTCGCCCTCTGAGCCAACGGTCGGTTGGTGTATATTTTTGCCCTGCTTCATTCCAGCCTCACTGCCGGCCCCCACTCTGTTTTCTTTTCTTCTTTTTCTTTTCTTTTGTGTCCACTTTGCACTTTTGTTACTCTATTTTGCATAACTCTGTGAGCTACCTTCAGACTTTTCTGGCAGAAAGAGGGGCATAAATAAACACATTTAGACAGTGCTTTATCATCTACAAATGCTTTTAACATGGTCTCACACCATCCTCGCAATCACCCAAAAGGTATTCCCCACCACACTTTCAAACGCTTTTAAAAAGAACTACAAAGTTAATGCAAAATACATGCTTGGTGTGAAAAATTCAAAGAATACAGAAAAAAGGGTTTAAGACTATTTGAAGCCCTGGTTCACACCTTCCACCCTCTCAGTTTGGCTTATTTGTAGTTGTGACCAGTGGGTATAGTTAGGGGTGTATCCTTCCAGACCTGCATGAAGACAGGCATCACTCGGACATGTGGCTACCGAGGGCTGGACACAGCAGGTCCCAACTGAGATCTGCTCCATGTGTAAAGTACACAGGGATTTCAAAGACTTGGTAGAAAAAGGAATGGAAAATGTCTCATTAGTAATTTTATATTGGTGAATGCTTATTCTAGTTTTTTTTTTTTTCTTAATGATTAAAATTTGCTATAGGGTGCACATGCTCACTAGGGGAAGAGCAAGAGGGAAAGTAAGAAAGCATTCCCCGGGGGGATGGTCATGCCACAATCCCTTCTTTGGAATTTTGGGCACACACGCACACGTGCCCTGGTATGCTTTCCAAGCCACTAGATCTGGGACGCGAACTGTGTGGTTGACCACATGGGATCCAGCTGCCTTAACCACCACACCACCTGCTGGCCCGCACACTTATTCTCTTTTATGAAATGAAGTGTTGTTGACTGATTCTAGCATCACAAATAAAGCCAATTAAGATCTTTAACTACAAATAAAATTTATATTGATTACCCATTGAAATACCATTTTGAATATATTTGGTTAATGAAAACATTTTAATATTCTTAAAAAATCATTGATTTCTCCTGAATCTTTTTACCTTTCTTTTTTCTTTTTCTTTTCTTGCAATAGGACACATACACGTGCTGCAAAGAAACAGAGAGGGAGAGAAAAAATGGGAAACCGCCTGCAGTGTGGCTGGCCCTGTGGCAATTCCTTCCCCTCCATTCTCCTTTTGGGGTTTTGGGCACACGCTCATGCCGGGCATGGCCCTCAAGCCTCTAGATCCAGGACTTGAACCACATAGTCGGTCACATGGGCTCCAGCAGCCTCAACTACCATGCCACAGGCTGGCTCCTACCTTTAATGTTTTAGAGTTTATTCATTTTCTTTTTTTTTCTTTTTTCTTTTCTTTTTTTTCTTTTCTTTTCTTTTTTTTTTTTTTTTTTTCTATAGGGCACGTGCACTTTTTGCTATAGGGCACGTGCACTCGCCACGTGCCTGGTGTGAGTTTAAGCCACTGGATCCGGGACTCGAACCGCGGCTGACTACATGGGAGTCCAGCGACATAGTCATTATGCCAACTGCTGGTCCCAACACATGGCATGTTTTCAAGCGACCAGGTCCAGGACTCTAACTGTGTAGCTGGCCGTGTGGGATCCAGCACCTTAACCACACTGCCACCAACTGGCCCTCCTTTTTACTTCTTGATGTGGCCACTGGAAAAATTTAAACTGCACGTGTGGCTCGCGTTACATTTTTATTGTATACCACTGCACTGGACCTTTCTCTGTACATTTACACACACGCACACATGTGTGCACACACATGCACACATATGTATGTGTATGTATCTATACTCTATATGGTTTCATTTTTCACGTGAATGAGGTCAGAGACCGTCTCTCTCTCTGTGACCTGCTTTTTTCCACTTACAGATTTTTCTGTACTAGCACTTATAGATCAAGGTAGATACTTTGCTGGACGAGAAAACGGAGTTACATTGAGCAATATGACTTATCCAGTCACAGTGATTCAGTGACTTTTTTTTTTTTAAGAGGTTTTTACTACAGGGCGTGTGCGCTCACCAGACAGACAGAGAGAGACAGAGAGATAGAAAGTGAGAAATCAC